CCTTTCTCTGGACTATTTAAATAATATTAACATAACTTTTGGGAAGAGCAATTTGGAAGTCTCTTTCAATATTTTAAATGTATTTACCTTTTATTCAGCATTTCTGCTTCCATAAATATATCCCATGTATTTAGCCTCATGTTCACTCACTGCCTTAGTCTATTTGTGCAGAAACAGACCAAATAGTCTCCAATAAAGAATGGAGAAGTTCATGCTATTAAATATGTGAATACATGCTAACAAATGTTATAGATCTACATCAACTTACATGGAAGACATTCCAAGATATGCTAAGTGAATCATGCAAGTTGTAGGATAGTATGTTTAACAAGATCCAGTGCCTAGTAACAAAACACTCACATACATGTATTTGCATGGAGAAAATCTGGAACTACGTGCTATAAAATATAGAGGATAACATTATAAGATATTTTCATTTTTCAAGTCATCGGCATCTATATTTAAAATATACAACAAAAATGTACTACTGTTGGGTCATTGGGAAAGTTATGACGCTTTTTTGCATAGAAAAACATAGAAAAATAAGTCATGACTTTCCTGATGCCCTAATATTATCATAGTCAAAGAAATCAACATATTTTCCCTGAATAATGAACTGGTTATCTATGCTGTATAACAAATTACCCTAAATTAGGCAGATTAAAACAACAATTTCTTTTTCTTTATGCCTCTCATGGCTATTGTAGATCAGAAACCCAGGAGTGGCTTAGCTAGGTTATTCTGGCTTGGAGTGTCCTACAAATGTAAAATCAAGCCATTGGCTAGAGCTGCAGTCATCTAAAGGCTCAAATAAGGAAGGGGAGTCCACTTCCAAGATGGCTTGCTCACATGTTTGGCAATTTAGTGCTGATTATAGGCTAATGGCCTTGCTTTCTGCTACATGGATCTTTCCATAGCACTACTTGGGTGTTTCACTACACAACAGCGAGCTTTCCAAAAGTAAGTGGTCCAAGGAAGGGCAAGGCAGAAATCACAGTGTCTTTTATAATCTAACCCTGGTGTCATACTTTGCTATTTCTGTGAAATCCTACTGGTTACACATGTCAACCCCGTTTGATGTGGAAGGGACTGCACAAGGCTGTTAATACCAGGAGGCGAGACTGTGACAGCTTCCTTGGAGCCTGGCTGCCACACAGTTAAGTCAGAGAGTAAAGAACTAATACTGAATACAGTCTTCCTCCTCCCCCTTTAGGTTTTTTTGGGGGGGAGAGAGGTTTTTGCTCTAGGGTGCATGTGCTCGCCAGACAGACAGAGACAGAGAGACAGAAAGCAAGAAATCACCCCCCAGGGGGATAGCCACGCCTCAATCCCTTCTCCTCGGTTCTCCTCTCGGGATCTTGGGCATGCACGCACATGTGCCCAGCGTGAGTTTTAAGCCACCAGGTCCAAGACGCGAACCGCGGTCGACTACATGGGAGTCCAGCGACATAGCCTTTACACTAACTGCTGGTCCCCTTCCTCTTTAGCTTTGAGGAACAATATGCTCTCTGGTAAGAGAAGAATAGAAACACCTTTTTCTAAACCAGTGAAAAGCACATATCTACTAGTTCTAAGCTTTTTTGCACTCAGAAAAGGTGTGAAATCGTGTTTGAAGATCTCTGTTATGCTTCAAAAGGGCATGAAATGTGGTTCCTACGTATTCTGCACAAGGTGAAAATGAACTGCACAGGTAACCACTCTGTTTCCCCGTATGATGATAAAGGATATCCCTCCTCTTTCCATGGTACACCAGTGCAGAATGGCAATGGCAGATTTGGGTTCAATACGTTATTTATTATCTTTGTTTAACAATTACTAATCAGATCAATGTTGTTTGTACTTCCAAAGGCTTAAGGTTCTAACTGTTGAACTAGAAACTAATACTGACTAGTTTCCCAAACTGGAGACCACCCAAGAACTGGTAACTAAACACGGGCTAACTTGTTTGAGGTTTATACTTGCCTAAGTGTGAAGATTACTAACTGAAAAACAAGTAATAAGCCAAGCAGTACTACAGACCTAAAATCCTCTCTCAGAAAACTTTTGGATCAAAAATGTTTGGAAGGGTGGTGTGGTGCATATACTATAAAGTATACAATATCTTCTTCTGGAGTTTGGGTTAATAATCAAACATATTAATATTTCTGCAGAAGATGAATATTCACACTAAGTAGAATTAAAAAAAACTACAATCCTTGTACCAATTCAAATCGAGTTTTACTATTAAATAAACTTGTGACCAAGCTGGAATAGTTCTCCTCCAGTTTTCATAGCTTTTTAGGATTCTAGATAAAGGACTGTAGACTTGTACTGCAAATAAGATAATGTAATAATACATTTGAATCCAGTAGTTCTCATGTCATCGAGATGATATTACTATGATTAAAAAATGTAGGTTTCCATTATACAAGTTTTTTGAATGTTATGCCTATCAAATGTTGTGGCCTTATTTCAATATTTGTTTTCTTTTAAAATACATGGGTGTTTACCATATGCCTTTTTTTTTTTTAAGTTGTGAGCATATAACTTTGTGAAAAGCAGTACACAGTATTTCTATTATAGATTATATCTGAACACTGTCCTAAGCGGAAGAGTGCTCAGTGTGATGCTGGCTCTGATTCTACCTTAGTAACAAAGAGGCAAATGCCCAGACCTGGTAAGGCCTAAGCAAGGGTATCTGGGGCTGGAGATAGTTTTCCTGGACCTGACCAATGAAGAAGAGTCTTCATCTCAGCCCACAGTACCCTGAAGAAGCTGAGAAAACAGGTTTTGGAAGTATCAATTCATTCTCAGAAGAATGGAAATTAATGGAGGTGTGTTCTGACCTGAGAACTGAAAGACCTCCAAGAAAAGCACTAGAAAAATAGGCCTGAGGGTATAACCACAAGACAGGAACCAAAGTCTGATGACCTCCCTTTGACTTCTGGGCGTACCAGGCAAGGAATACCATGCAAGAAGCGGAACCTCCCAGTCCCAGACTAGATGCTTACCTGGGGAGGGGAGTCTTAGTTCCTCTAGGCTCTGAATCTAACTGGGCCAACAATCAGCTGCCCAGTTGGCAGAGGATGGTCCTAGTTTATACATATTGTTCCAGCACAATATTAATAATGCTCCAACATGCTCTCAGAAGTTTTCAGTTTAAACGATAAAGTACATGTTTATCAATAGGGTAGGGCAATGAGTGGCTTCTTCCAAGTCAGAGAAGGATATTTACTCAGAACATCAAAAGTAACTGTGATGTGAGAATCTGCATGAAGGTCAAGGATGAGTTAAAGTGGCAGCTGGGAAGAAAGCCAAGTTGAAAGTCCCAACAAGGAAATAAACATGACAAGCAGGAAACAGGAGAGTCCCTGTGGTACCACTCCATGGCTCATGGCTCTACACTAGAGAAATGCCCACCTCCATCCAAACTTCCTCGCATTATTATTATTTTTAGTTTATTTATTTCTTCCATGAATGAGACACAGAGAAAGACAGGCACCCTCAACACGGTGTTTACAGTGCAATATACTCCTAGAGTCAGACAGCCTCAGATCACAGGCATGCCCAGGTACCTGGCATGCACAAGGAGGCCCTAAAAATGCAAATCCTGGACCTTTCCACATAAATCAACCTTGCAAAGTGTTATGCTACCACTATGCCAATGTCTGGTCCCACATTACTATTTTTTGATAGCAAGTTTAGGTCACTGGAAATCTCACCAAAAAGAGATTGTTCTAAATCCAAGTCTTTGCATCCCTCATCATTACAGCCAATCAGTTCTCAGAGGTACCTTTCCTAATTCACCTTTCTAAAATAACCTTATTCTTTAGCTCTCCCAACCTCCACTACATGTACTCAAATTCTTCTCCCACCAAGCTTTTCGTATGCTTTAGAATAGCCTTTACTGTACTGACATTACATGCATTTATTTACTGCCTGTCTCCTCCACTAGAGTATAATTTACCCAAGAAGGCTAGGAAATTCAATCACTGCGATCTCAGTGCTTACAAGAGTACTTGTTTGTAGTTGGTACTCAATAAATAATTACTGGGGCTGGCAGATGGAGTGGTGGTTAAGGCGCTGGACTACCACATGGCTGACCACAGATAGAGTCCTGAACCTGGTTGCTTGCTTTCTTAATTTTCATTTCTCTCTGTCTCTCTGTCTCTCTCTCTCTCTGATAAAATTTAAAAATAAATAGCAAATACAATTAAATAATTACCGAGTAAACATTCACTATATCATTATACACTAATATTAATTAATTCAATCTTCCTATTACCTACTGAGATGTACTCAAACTGGGAAGACAGAAAGAGCACAAAGGCAGTAATCTGAAAGTATGTATTAAGGGCCTTATTTACAAGGGCCATCCAATAAATAAGTTGAACTGAATGGAATTCCTGGAGCCAGAGGGAAGGAAGAACAGGCTCAGGAAGAACAGAGAATTGGGAGTTTATAAAAAGTCACAGCCAGGAAGAGCTTCACGCTCTGAGAGA